GATTTAAATTGGATTGGTTTGGTTATCATATAATAGTGGATTGGATTGGTTTAAAAATTTTACTAACCGATTAAATTGGATTGGATTAAAAAATGTTAAAATCCGAACCAAACCACCCCGCGAACACCCCTAATTTTACCCTAACTTGGTCCTTCATTAAAAACCCACCGTTAACTCACATGACTTAATGAGATGGCAAAATTTTAAGACACGTCAGATGTACAAATGGACAAAATGATGACATGGCAATATGACATGTTATATTTTTGTCCAATACCCAAAAAAAAAAAGTGGGATCTTTTGCCCTCATCTTCTTCCTTCAGCCTTCTCTTTCTCAAATCTTCTCTTTCATTCTTCTTTTTTCTTTCTTTGCTTCCTCTGAATCCACTTTCATCACCATTCTTCATTAATCAATTATTCATCATCATCATCAAACAACAAAACCCATAAAAAAATAGAAAATCTCTTTGACTTTTTGCACAAAACAAAAAATTTGTTGGGTTCACCGTTGGGTTCCAACTGCCGAACCCAAGCATGCTGGGTTCCAACAGTTGGAATCCATGCGTTCAAACCCAACAATCGTTGGGTTCCAACCGTTGGAGCCAAGGTGTGCTAGGTTCAAACCCAACGGCTGCTGTGGGTTCTAGTGGCTGGAACCCGCACGTCCACGCTTTCAAACGTAGTAGATGCTGGGTTTGAATGCATGGGTTCCAACCGCTAAAACCAAGAACCAAGCGGCTGTTGAAACCCACACGTTTGCAAACCCAGCATGCCTAGGTTCTAGCAATTGAAACCCAAGTATGCTGGGTTCAAACCCAACGGCCACTAGGTTCCAGCCAACCCACACACCCACGTGTTCGAATGTGGCGGCCGCTGAGCAAGCATGCTGGGTTTGAACCAAGTAGCCACTGAAACCCACAAGTTTGCACCCAACAACTGGAACCCAGGCATGTTGGGTTCAAACCCAACGACCACTGGGTTCCAAGTTGGAACCCAGGCGTGCTGGATTCGAACAATGGGTTCAAAAGAGCCCAGGACCCTAAGAGGAAAGAGAAAGGGAGAGAGAAGGAAAAAAAAATCTAAGAATTTTTTTTGTCATATCAATATTTTTTTTTACTATATCATTATTTTTGTTCATGTCAGCTGTATTGTGTTTAATACTTTGCCATGTCATTATATTGTCGTTAATTAACATGACACCTTACATGATTTTTAACGAAAGGGCCAAGTTGAGGTAAAATTGGTAAACAGTAAGGATCAATTCAAGGATGTTTCAGTTTAAGGACTAAATCGAGAGTCCGTACAATAGTTGAGGGACCAAAAAGGATATTTGACCTTTTTGAAAAAAGTTGCAAATAGAAATTATTAGAAAATTTTTGTTGAAAATTTATTAATTTTATAAAGAAATTTTGTTTAATTGTTAAAATCTTCATTTCTTAAAATATATATAAAAAAAGCCTTTAAATTTCTAAATAGCATAAAAAAAAAACTTTTGCATTTCTAAATGAGTCACCATAAAAATGTTGTTGGAATGTTTTACCTCTTAAAATTAAGATGTAAAAAAAAAAAAATTACGGCAATTCGTTATAAGTAAAGAGGTTGCCAAAAATTAAAGATTTTTTGGTAGTTATAATGTTAAGAATGATAAAAAAAATTATTAAAATTTTATGTAAATATAATATATAAAATTTCTGTATA